TGTTGGAAATTTCAAGTTAGGCTAAAAAGAAAATAATGTAGAAAGAAATACGGTTAGGTTGATCTTTTGGGTATTTTTGCTCTTCATTTTTTCTGTATAGTCTGTTCAGTAAAATGTTTTTTAYGTACTGTACCTGATACTGCAGTGCATAAATGAGGGGGTGGGAGGGAATGATATTTTTTCAGTGAGCTGTGATTTTGAATGATTTAGGTTGCGTAAGAAATAGTAAAGCCTGTAAAATTAACTTGAGTATTCCAAGTTAGATATCAACTGCAAGCTTAACAAAGTGAAAACTATCTTCCTAACAGTAYCAAATCACCTCAAGTTACTGCAGATGAAAAAAGCTTAAAAATGATCATTCTAAGAAAAAAAATAAACTATCACCTCGCAATTTTCACTATGTAGAAATTATTTCGGACCTATAAAGACTGTAAAAAAAACATACAACTTTTCTAAACATTTTAGTATAATGAGATGATGTTGCTTTAATTTTCCTCCTAACTGTTCTCTTGGGTATGTGTAACTGAGGTATAGTGTTTCACAGGGTGTGTTATTGCAGAGTTGCTGAATTAGGCCTCAGTTAAGCAAAGCCCGTCCACATCTCCTTCTCAAAACACTTAGGTATTTGCACTTAATTTTTCATGTCTTTTGAATTTAAATGCTCTAAAATAGGGAGACCTCAATCGCCTACGTAAGGTTGTTTTGTACCTACAGGCTTCAAGGACTGTGGAAGATTGTTTAATTAGGGTTTCGGGTCTGTTYAGTCAGGAAAACCGAGCTGTAGGCAGAAAGCAGCTCACTCTGTGGATGCTTGTGAAAAATATGGGSAACTTTGGGGAAACTTTTTCTTTTATATCCATCTGTTGTGCTGTGTGAGCTTTCTTGGGAACAGGAAAAGGACGGAAGGGACGGAGAAAAGAAAGCAAAGCCGTTTGAGTTTGCACTTGTATAACCTGTTTAAACTCTTAAGATTGTCGCTTAGCAGCTGTATAGCACTGAGGATAATTTTAAAAGGGCAAACTAATCAAAGTAGCTTAATTAATATATAAAGTCATAACAATGATGGGAATCTGAAAACATTCCCTAGGGCAGTTGGGGTAGAGGAACATCAGAAAGTTAAGTAATCAATAGTAAGAAATCAGTTTTAATTAAGTAGATGATAATTAGATCTTGTACTTCAGGTTATGAGATTATTATTACAGCTCAGGCTAAAATGTTTTTTCTATGAACAGTATTTTGCAAACGGACATTTGTATCATGAGGTAGTTTAAATGCATTTATTATTTACTTAATAATATTGCAATATAATAATAAGTATAAATAACACAAATGTGTAGTACGATAACAATATAATAACAATATAATGATGTTATTATGCATGCTGCTGATTTGAGTTGGTGTTGTAAGTCTTGTAGCAAAGATGAATAAATTTTAACAGTGATTTAATTTATAAAATTACTGTTGGAATATTATTCTTCTTTCCACTGTCTGTTCTTTCTATTGCATTTATGGATACATAATACATTAAAGTTGTATGAAGAATAGCCTGTAGTTCCTGAATACACAAGAAGATCTAAGCAGCTTTATGCACTTACACTAACTTACTGGTTTAGTTCTAAAGTAACAGAAGATGAACCATGAACATGYTCTCAGCTGCAAATGTTTATGCTCTATAAACACTTGCTTACTGTATATATGTTGTAATGGGCTCTTCCCATTACCCTGTTGCTTTTTTTTTCTATTACTGAAGAGCCCTCACAGTTTGAAAAGTTATATATAGTCTTTCAGTCATTTTTATATGTACTTAAGAACAGTGACTCCAGCTAATTAACTTCATCTTGTGTGTATTTCTCTTTTATTCCATTAAAATTAAAGTGAGAGGCAAGTTGATAGTGTCAAGTACTGCTTGAAGAGTTGAGCTAGAATGGGAAGATTTTCTCTAATGCTTGTGTAATTTGTCAACTCATTTTAGGCATATGTCATTCTGTTTAAACATTTTATGCTGGATTTATTTATGGTTTGATTGTTTTAAAGAATTGTAGAGGTTATTCGGTGTTTAGATTGCAAAGAGTAATATCATATCGTCATGTAATTATCAGTGTTTTGAGGCAATTATCGGTGTTTTTGAGTTCCCATGAGGCAAATTAGTAACCATATTAAATTTCTTGAGCTAAGCTTGGAGGAAGGGGCATTTGCTGAGCTCTGGCTCTTGACCTTGACTTTTCTCAGGTAGCGCTGGGATGGGGACATTCCTCAAGCACTGGGATGGGTGGGGGGAACGTTACCACTCCGCAGGACTCTGGAAAGGTCTGTGACAGRTCAGGCCACATCTCCTCACCTTTCAGACGCAGGCTGCTGGTTTAGCCTGGGAGCTTTCTTGCCTCACCACCATTCCTAGTGTCTCTGTTGGGCAAAGAAATTTTGCACATTCATCATTGAGTATATTTCAGTTTTCATTTTTGAAGGAGTTTCAGTTTTGATCTTGAGTATTTGAGGACAAACAGAATATCTCCCATTCATGTGTGTTTAGACAGAAAAGTGTATGCTGTAGAACTGCATTTTATGCTTGGCTTTCTGATGGCAGGTTTGAAAGATTCCCGTTTCCCTTTTGCTTTTGGGAGTGAGTGAGTATGTGTCCCCTGCTGTTGTTTATCCAGTACCTTTGGAAAAGGAGTGGATGACTTGCTGTCACTCCCATCAGTACTGATCAGTTCCATACTGATTTGCATCATTTTCACACTTGAGAGTTTTGGCACTAGACTCATGTAAGGACATCTTCCCAGGAAAGTACTGAACTACACCTGCATCTGCTAGCAGTGGTCACAGTCTTGTGTGAATTATTCTTGCTCTGGACAAGGCTAACTCAAGTATGGACATCAAGTCATGGCATAGTATCTACCCTGCCTTTCTCTGGTCAAGTTTCTGTTCCATTGACTTGGGGTGATACTTTTTTGGAAGCCTTCTCTATGTACAGATTGGTCTGTCTATCAAGATGTTCTTGGAAGATGTTCTTGTTTCCCAGAAGAAGAACTGACCTCATGTAGGTAACACTGAGCGTGTGTGAAAATCCAGGACCTTGAGGTGGTATTAGTGTCTGGTGGACTCTCATAGCCGAGTGTAAGAGCATCTTGTCCATCAATGGACCATTTTTTTCCTGGGGCAGAGAGAATAAAGAACTCGAAGATGCAATTTAACGATGTCTGGGATGATAGTAGACCTTCCAGACATGGAAGAAAAGCCTACCTCACTTTTGGCACTTGGAATCAGCACCAAGATGGGTACCCATAAATATTCTTTTGGGAGAAGAGAAGGACACTTCCATTCAGACTCAGAATCTGAATACAGACCAGGACATGTCTGAGACTGTGCTGGGCATCCAGATCTCTTTATAGAGACAGAAACTCCAGAAACAGCAGCCAAGTGGGTTTGGGAGGAGAGAAGCTCAGGAAATAAGGGAATCTACACAAGGTATGTTATTGCTGCTGTTTTGTTTTGTTTTTCCTACTTTGGGCTTTGTCTGCATGCGTGGTGGCTGGGTTCATATATGTGCCACTATTTTATTCCTAAAGTGGGTAGATGCAGTCTTTCATGGACAAAGAACGTACATGATCTGTTCTTGTAGCAGAAGTGGCAACTTCATGCCCCTTTTTACCATGGCTGCTTCTACAAAGCTGCAAAACCCCAAGCAGTAAGAGAGCTGTGGGCACGTTACGCTTTGGCTCATGTGTTGATTTTGAATTACAGGACATTAGATCTGTACAGTTCCAAATGCATTTCAAGCTGACTTTCTAGCACAACCATGATTATTTAGAAACCAACCTACAACCTGAAGGCACAGAAGATTAAATTGCAGACCACAGTGGCAAACAGTGTAATTTAGCCCTAATTTGTCCGACTTACCAGGACTACTTCATCAAGGGTTTGTTTACTTTTTAAGGCCGAAGCTGTCAAAGTGCCTGCGTGGGCACTGAAAGTAGAATCCTGAACTCCCTTGATGCTGGTGTGGATTTGCTTTCCTTTCTTCAGCTCACATGCACTTCTTGTCTTGCTATGAGAGAAGAACAAGAGCAAACTCACCAGTCTGGCCCCCATCACACTCATTCTGTCAGCACTTCTTTCCATCATAACAGTCAGAGGCAAGGTATCTTGAAGCACTTTGCTGTCCWTAGTAATCCATTTTTTTGTCTGTATTTCCTGTCCTTTGGCTCCATCGAGGAACTGCTCACTCCTATATTCTGATATAAACATCGTATGTGCCTGCCCCGCTTTCCCTTCTCTTCTGCCGAAGAAATGAAGGTGACAGATCATGATGTCCTTATCACTTACAGCCTGAGCACAGGGCGTCTTCCGGAAAGCCTTTGAAATTCCAGAATGAACTAAGAGATGATTCTTGCACTGAGTTCCTCAATGTAGAGAGTTTGTTAAATTATCTCTGGGTCTGTGTTAACCATTTTTTTATGTTTCATTTCAGATACTACAAGTTTATCAAGGCCACATTTGGAGAATTCTGGCTCTGTAGCTGAAGACTTTGATCAGACGTTTGGCAACGTAACTGATGATTCTTGACAAATTTTGCAGTCAACAAATGGCAAAGAAGAAAGGCACGTTGCCTTTTCACTTCTAGAGAGACTTGAGAAGGGACAGTGGAATTTACAAAATGCATTCAGGAAAACGGAAGTTGCAAGATGCTAAACTAAACTGATTTTCTCATTGCCAAGAGAAGTCTAGGGACA